CCCCCCCCACGCCCCGCCCCGCCTATGCATAGAATTCACAGGATGATCAGCTGCATTGTGTTTTTTTGCGATCCCTCAAACTAACCACCTGCTGGGTGCAGGAGGAGTAATTCCTCGCCGAACGGTTTGATGATGAATGTGGGTGGTTCGGGCCTTCTCTCATCGCTGCGTTTCCTTTCGTTCTGTGAACCCGACCGAATCAGAATCACTCAGTTCTACGAAGGAGACCAGAAGGAAATGAGCTAGTAATGGTCTCAGTGGGAAGTGAGAGGGGCGGCCCACTGACATACCACAATGAGGCCTGCTGGACAAGCCCCGAACACGATTTTGTTCCGGGAGAAACCTCGGAAAGAATGACGGCTGTATGGGCAGGTGTATCTGGCCTGGCTTCAGTAATGGCCGACATTTACAGTCTCTGTATCCAGTGTACCGCCCCCCCCCACCGCCAGCACCTTCCTTCACAGGGTCCCCAAGGTGCTGCGAGCACATTGGAGTGAACACAGTATGGGGGGGTGGGGGCTTGTGAGTCAACCATCCCTACATGCCCCAAGAAGGAGGTTCTTGTCCATCTAGGGCCAGAATACTGCCGGTGTGAGCAGCCTTATAGGTGGGGGGGTGGGGGGGTCGGTCGATGTCCCTGACAGCGGTGTAGGCTCCGGATGTCTAAACCACCGCGTTTTGGCACAAGATGGTCGACCCAGCAGGTGGCGCCACCTTAACGCCTGTCCTTGTACGGACCGGGCGACGGGTCACACATGTGTCCAGAAAAGAAAAAGTGCTGGAGGGGCCTCCTGATTGGTTAACGCTAAAATCTGCCACCGCTCTCTGTGTCTGACATCTGGAAACCTTTCGATCGCAACCGAAGGAAGAACAGAATATATGCATACAGATATATAGTGCATACATATACCCTAAAGGTATCAAATGATAGAAAGTCTAATACATGTCAAATTAAAAAAAATAATAATTCAGAAGTCCCAAGGCATGTGGGCCCAGTTCTTCGATGGCTTTATAGGTGACACCCGAGTGGCACGCAGGAACACGCATGAGAGTCTCATGGCACACAGGACGCGGGCCATGTGGCTTAGAGCCACCTCTTCCCCTCAGTTTGACAAAACGGGCACATAAACAGCGAGCGATGGCTTTTTCGGGGAAATCCTACCCATTTGCCCTCCGTCCCCACAGCGAGTGTCTGAGATTCTTCCATGAGCTTCCACACCTTGTCTTCCTCTCCCTGACCCTGTCTTCCTGTTACCCCGGGGGTATGACTGAACCCCTGTTGTCTGTACAAGCAGCCCCCCCCCCGGCAGAGGGAGCTGCAAGTACGGTGGGGAATGTACGTGTTTATACTGGGGGGCAGGTTAATGAGGTCAGGCTGCAGAAGGGCGGGTGCGGCTTCTTCACTGTGCCCGGCCAGTCTGGGCTCTCCTGGAAGTATCCGCCCAGGCCTCTCCATCGCTGTCTGCACCCCTGTCCCGCTCCTCATCCCCGCAGTCCTCATCCTCATCCTCATCTTCCTCATCCAAGGAGGGTTCAAAGCCATCATCTGGACCCCCGGCCTCCATCCGCTTCTCCGTCTTCACGGCCGTCGGCGTGGGGACAGCGGGGGTAGTGGTGTCCCCATCCTGGGCTGGACCGTCCTCATAAATCTCGGGATTCTCCAGCATCTCCCGGATCAGCGGCGGCATGGGACCTGGGATCTCCATCTTCAGTGTAATGGCTCGCTCCGCCCCTGCGTGACAAACAGAAGCCGGAGCAGCTGGTGGGTTAGCGACCAAGCGATGGTGTGTGCATTCACGCTGCAGTGGTCTCTCTCTGCCTTCAGGGGCACTCACCCTTAGTGCTGATTCCGCGGAGGTCCGTGACCTTCATTAGCATGCGCGGGAACATGTGCGGCTTGTTGGGCCGTCTGCGGCGAGCATAGATCTTCAAGGCTTCCAGCAGGGGCTCCTGTAGACGGTCCACACGTTGCGGCTCCTCCAGGTCCATGCGGTCTGACAACAGACATAGGCGGGAGTCAGGAAGCAAGATCGGCCAATCGCAGCAAAGGGAGCAACTATCCAATCATATGGAGGCATGGTTATAAACATAGAGGTGAGGGAAACAACATCTAGGCTTAAAGTCCTTGGGAATGAATTATTAACCTAAAGGCTGAAATTAGAAACAACATTACTGCAGACAATTAATGGGTGTGTTCTTGGATTGTATCTCTGTTGTTCTAATTACTCTGTGTTCATATGGTTTCAAGAAGGCTGCACTACCTCCACAGATGAGGCAGATGGCGCTGAGGAGGCCGGTCTCTGTGTCGTCCATCTCCAGGGGCAGCAGCTGACCAGCAAAGGCGAACACCAGGTCGGTGAGCGGCCCGAAACCAGCATTGTGCATCTGGGTGCGGTTCAGGGTAAGCCCATCCGAAAACGTCATGGTGTCCTGTTCGGGGGTGTAGCGGGTGCAAATTTTGTTAAGAGACAGGGACAAGCTGGTGCTTTCCGGGAAAACGATGGTGCATCTGTGAAACCAAGTGGAATTGGAGAACTGCAACTCTCTGGTGCTCCTGGGGGTTCAGAGGGTGGGAGGGTTGGTCCACATACCAGGATATCCAGGCAGGCTGACTTCAGTAGGGTGATCTGGTCAGCGATGGTGAGTGTGGTAAAGCCGGGCAGGCGCTTGGCGAACTCCACGATCTTGATGATGCATTTGGTGGACAGCTCACTGAACTTGTCCCACAAGCCCAGGTCCAGCTGGACTCGGTGGTCTGCACTGGAGTTCTGCAAGAGGAATGGGGGGGGTGACATACTAGGTGAGGGATGGCGAGCCTGTGGCAGGGATGGGGGGCCCAGTGCGCTGGTCATGCAGACTCACCGTGGTGTACTTGCCCAGCTGACACAGGGAGGGGAAGGTCTCACGGTGGGCTTTGCTGACTCTGCTCACCAGCTCCTCCAGCTCGCTGCTCAGCTCATAGCTCTCCAGCAGCACCGCCTCCTCCTTCACGTCCTTCTTCTTCTTGTTGCGGTCGTTCCTCACGGCTACAGGGTGCAGGGAGGGGGATGTTGGTTTATGAGACCCTGACCATAGCGGCCATTGTGGATGGACCGCGCACAAGCCACAGAGGGCGGCCCATCCACGTGTGAAAAGCAGCCGCCTCATTCGCCATCCTGCCTCCCCCCCGCCACATTTTCCATCCCCCTGAGCCCCTGCCCGGTTTCTCTGCTTCCCACTGTTGTGTTCCGTGATCCCGTCAGGAGAAAAAGTCGCGTCTCACGGCCGCCAAGGCTTCGTCCCCCCACCCCCTTTCCTTCCTCTCAGGATATGCAGTAATAGCAGAGGCACAATGTGACCACCGCCCCCCAACCCCCCCCGTCTGAACATATTCCGTACCAACATGCCGCGTCCTGGCAAACGGCTGATCGGGACCGTTGACCAGTCCACAGACCCTGCGCAGACTACGGGTCGGTCCCACGTCACCATCCACCTGCATCAGGACTCATTAGCAGGCCTGCGGAGGCCGTTAACGCACTTTTTGGGCCCAGTGCGTAAAGACCGACGGGCGCACAGGTGGCCGCAGGCCTGATTTCCTCCACTGGGAGGCCTTTCTCAGAATCTCGCAGCTTGCGGAGGAGCGGATCTAATCATGCTCCGGGGGGGGGGTGTCGTGTCACGTCGATGATGAGTTGACGCACTTCCTCCCCCGCCCCAAGAAGTGCTGCTTCCCTGGAAAAGGAGAGGCACCTCCCCCCGGCTTGTGACACCGCACCTCAGAAGGGCGACGGCGGGGCAGCTTCGGGCCCAGACAGCGGAAGCAGGCTTTTGAAACCGCGGTATTTCTGCCTCGCCCCCCCTTCGCCATTTCCTGTGGTATAACCCTTTTGGTGCCATGCGCTGGTCCCCTGCATGCTGCCACCTCCTCGTTATCTAGGCTCTTGAGAAACACCTTGGCAGCCTGGTCAGAGTTCCGTTTCCTGGAACTCGAAAGACCAGTATGGTCCACTTAGGCAGCCGCGGGTGTCCTACGGCCCCCAGGGGCCCCCTCTCAGGAGCCGAGGCCCCCGGCGTGGCTCCTCACCTTCCTTGGACATGCCGACCTCGAAGCACTTCTGCAGCCGGCAGTACTGACAGCGGTTGCGGGTCACCTTGTTGATCTGGCAGTTCTTGTCGCGGTGACAGGTGTACACCATGTTCTTCTGGATGCTGCGCCGGAAGAAGCCCTGGAGGGGGAAGGGGAGGGAGGGAGGGGGGGTCACCATGTCCAAAAAGTGCCGGGTGGCAGGCCCAGAAGGCACCAGAAAGCCCCAAAGCCTCACCTTGCATCCCTCGCAGGAGCTAACCCCGTAATGGTAGCCAGACGACTTGTCCTGGCAGACGAAGCAGGGCTTGTAGACTCGTGGTGGTGGGGGCGGCGACGGCGAGCTGGGCACCATCTCCTCTGAGCTGGTGCTCTGCGTCTCCACCGCTGCAGGAGAAAGGGGGGGGGGGGCAGAGGGGGTGGTCAAATCTGTGTCACCTGACTTCCGACAGGGAGGGGGGAGACTTTGCATGGCTGCATATTTTTTTCTCCTTCAAGGAATGAATGGCGAGAGTGAAATGGTAGTTAGACCCGGCTGAATGGTTCAGGGGGGGGTGCAGAATGCACTGCTCTCTTTAATGACAACCTTAACCCCCACCCGGCCCTAACCTTAACCATAAGTAACCAAACAACATTTTTTGTTTCTTGATTACAGTCACAGATTTTTATAAAAATGAGTTTTCCCTTGTGGAAACCGAAAAAGGGGTCCCCACAATGTCAAAAAATAACAGGTTTTTAATCACATTGTCGGGACATCTGCTCCCAAAAATGTAATACATACATGACCCCCCCACACCCCCCCACACACACACCTTCCCCTGACTTAAGAGACTGGGGTGTGGAAGTGCTGATTGACAGAAACAGAGATAGTGGTACAACACAAACAATTAGCTGAGACTCTGATAGGTATGTTGATAAGATGGCTCCTTAATGGTGCCTCCGCGGGAGGGGGGGG